GGTAGCTACGTCCATCTTTTATACGGTCTATGGATTCTGCCCTGTAACCTGTGTTTAGGTAAACTTTACCAGTAGATATGAAGTAAACTGAATTTAAGACTAATGGTTGTATTTACTTACCTTTTTTGAGTGCGACCGGGTTCCTAGATTCGTTTAAGGTAAGATCAACTTTTCGCATTTTACAGTGTACTAGACATCTGTATGTTGGCAAAACATGGAAAAATTAGTCAAATAACAGCTTAAAAAATATTTATTTACAATAATTATAGATTTTTAAGCCTTAATATAGATAATCGTTTTTTTCAAAAACCAGAAAATATTTATGAAATTATCTTTTTTGCTCATTTAAATAGAGTGAAAGTCAGTTTAATCACCAATTTATTTTTATTTCTAAAAACATAGATCTTTGATATGGACATCATTTTAGTATAGGGATTTAAATGATTTTTATTTTTTTATTTATTTTTTGACTGATTTTATCAACTGGGATCTTCAGGTCAAAACAGTTTTAAGTTGTTTTTTCTTTTTTTTTATTTCTTTACAGTGTATGTTCCTCCCCTCGGACTGTCGTGTGAACACCAGAGAGCATTCATTCAGTTTTCCTGCCCTGTTGAATGTAAACATGTAGACAACATGCTCTTATTCCCACCTCAGGAAGCGGGTAAACAAAGACTAACCTTAAAAGCAGCTGTCCTTCAGGCCCAGGCTTTTATGTCCAGTGTTCCGATTGTGTTTTCTGGTTTTTAACTTCCTCACCAGACCACTGTTGTTGTGGGGCAGCAATCAAACGTACATCACAACATCTGTGACTCATTTGTTGTGTCAGTGCTCTGTAATTACACGCAAAGAGCGAGGTGGAGTTTTTTTTGGGATTCTCGCCAGAATGTTTTCAAACGTCACTCTGACTCAACAGCGTGGCTTTCAGGAGAATCTGCCTCAGACTTATGGGGCGATTTGGCTTTAGTTTATCATTATTCCTTCTGTTAGGATCAAGAAAACGGGTGAAAAGTCGTCGCACGGGGTTGGATTTGTTCTTCTATTTGGTTATTTCTTCTCCTGATCTTTGAAGTAAAATAAATGATGTGTTAAAAACAACGTGCACGATGAATAAACACGAGCAACAGCCTTGTTTTACACACCGATGCACAAGAAAAGGCAAAAACATGCTCTGACTTCTCTCCATTAGGTGGCAGTCTAACGGCAGAAATAGTAGAAATAAAGTTTATCAAATCAAGAAGATAACATAAATGTAGTGCTGAATGTACACTAACATAGCCTTACTGTTAGTTTTAGACTTTCAAACCGACATTTCTGTGAATGCCACGCCGTGCATATTTTAAATCCCGCTCAGTCGGGAGTTTTTGTTTTGCACAAACTGAGTTGGCACACGTTCAGGAATGTATTGGTCGTCCAAAGATTCATGTGCAGTCGACAGAATTTCAATACGTAGCCGTGTGATTGCATGTCACAGTGATGTTGTTTGTGTCTGTGATTTTATGAGTGTTTGAGCTCATTTTCTCAAGATGTAAACAACTTGCAGAGAAGTGATGCTTGCATGTTTGAATTCGTCCCATAAAAGGTCAGGAAATGATAAAGACAGTCTCACTAAAAGTTGTGCATTTATTCAACACATTGAAGCATTTTGCATTGAACTGTGTTATAGCCGGATTACATCTTTGATTTCGTAGCCCAAAAAAGAAAACGTTAAACTGTTCGCTAAATGCATTGTTGTTAGCGCAAAAGTCGTTGCACAAATTAATGCTGAGAAACAGGAGAAAAAAAGGCTTAATGCGGATTTAAATTCACTAAAAAAACAAAAACAGAAAGCACACAGATTCAGTGCACTCGAGTTTACATTCACCAAAAAGTCCAGCTCTGCCATGAGATTGTAAGGTTTGTGTGTTTACAGTTAGCTCGTTGATAATCAAAACTGAAAGCTAATGAAGTCAAAAGCAAATCCGTTTACTTGTTACTCCTGAACCGAGCCGCAGCGGATCGTTCTGCTACCGTCGACTCTAAGCTCCACATTTTCCGAGCAAACCGCGGTGATCAGCGAGCGGTTTCCTCTTGGCTTCCACAGCCCTCGGCCTGCTGATGTTGCTTGTGGTCCAGACTACAGCACGGAGTTCGTATTCCCGCGACCGATATCTCCTTTCCCGCTCCTGTTCCTCTTCCAGCACACGCAGCCGATGATGACGGCGCTGATGATGGCGAGGCAAACCACGGCGACGACGACCAGGATCATCGACGTGTCTCTGGAAACCGTTGTGTTCTGGTCCTGTCCGCTGCTGGTGACCTCCTCCTGCTCCGAGGTCGGGGTGGTCTTCACGGCGGGCGAGGATGTGGTTCTTTTGGTCGGAGGCGTGTTGGGTTTCCTCCTTTTCCCCGTCGAGGTCAACACAGGTTCCTGCGTGGGGGCGAGAAGCTTCAGGATGTCGTCCGTCACCTCGGTGAGCGTCTCGCCGGTCAGGGCGAAGGGACTTTCACAAACCACCAGGGTTTGGTTGACCTTGGACGGGTGGCGTTTCAGCCAGTCCCTCAGAGGAACAATGTCCTTGTCGCACCTCCAGGGGTTCTGCTGCAGGAGAATCTCATCGGCTGCACTGAGGGCGTCCAGACTCTCCTGCGGCAGGTTGGGGAAGGAGTTGTTCTGCAGGTCTATCTGCCCCAGGTGGGTCAAACCCTGCAGGAAACCTGAAGGAAGGGAGCTGAGGAAGTTGTGTTCCAAGGAGATGTTGACCAGACCGGGCAGCCCCTGGAAGGTCCCGGCCTGCAGCGTGGTGAGCAGGTTGGTGTGCAGCGAAATCTCCCCCACCTGCTCCAGGCCCCTGAACGCACCGCTGGACACGTGGCTGATCCGGTTGCGACTGAGCACCAGGAGGCGCAGCTGAGTCAGGTTCCTGAAGGTGTCGTCCTCCACGCGACTCAGCTTGTTGTCATACAGCCACAGCTCCTGCAGCGCCATGGGTCCGAACAGGCCCGGGCCCAGGCTCTCCAGCTGGTTCTCGTACAGGGACATATGGGTGAGGAGGGGCAGGTTCAAGAAGATCCCCTGCGGGAGAGTCGTGAGCCTGTTGTGGGAGAGGAACAGCTTCTTGAGCTTCAGAGTTTTGGAGAACAAGTCGCTGTGGAGGTGGGCGATCAGGTTGTCCTGCAGGGAAACCTCCTCCAGGTTCACAAGGTCGTCGAATATACCGAGGGGAAGCTCCTGCAGCATGTTTTTGTTAAGACGCAAGATTCTCATGTCGAAAAGACCCTTGAATGTCTCCCCAGGTAGCTGACTGATGTTGTTTCCAGAAAGCGAAATGAACTGCAGCTGGGCGAGGGGGTTAAAGGTCTCCTCAGGTACGGAAGTGAAGTGGTTCCTGCTGAGGTCGATCTTGCTCAGAGCCCCCAACGCCGAAAACCACTGAGGACGAAGCGCCGAGAGCCGATTGTTCGTAAGGGACAGAGAGCTAAGGTTCTGGACATTCTGGAACAGGGCCTCTGGGAGATCTTGAATTTCGGTGCCGGTAAACGCCAAGGCGGCCATTAACGGAGTGGAGTCAAACGTGCCGGGATGCACTTCCCTCAAAGCGCTGTCTTTAATCGCAAAGATGCTGAGGGTGTCGGAGAAACCAGTCAGGTCCTCGGACTTCAGGGAGTCAAAGCTGCACTGGGAAAGGTAGAGGGTGGTGGTGGACGGTGGCACAGCGGAGGGGAATATCGGCAGGCCGCTGCAGTAGACTCTGCCTTTTGAACACTGACATTCATCCGGACAGGCCCGGACGCCGGCGTGGACGGAGCAGAGGAGCAGGAGGGTCAGCAGCAGCTCCATGGTGGTCCTGGAAGAGAAGGAACAGAAGGAAACGGTTGGTTGTCGGGCTTCATGTGTTAACCATTAAATACCGTCTCACCATTTCACTAGATCGTTTGTCAACGCTAAGAAAGATGCACGAGTTGAGTGTTTGCGTAATGTTGAGGAGACATTTCTGGACTTGGAGACATGTTTGTGTTTGACAGATTTGTGCATTTACTGGACGAAGTAGGTCAGCAAGTTTAAAGTTTCTGGAGCTCTGGTTAAGTCGACCTCATCTTCTCCGTCTTGTAAGTCCACCAGGTGCAATAACAAATCTTTGTTGTGTCCTGTTAAGCTTTCTGCTGATAAAAACCTTCGAGGTGACGTCACTTTGTGCATTCGCAGGTGTACGAATGTTAATTTTAATAGCAACTCTCAATATGGGTGATTCGAAGGTATATTTCCATTTATTTGCTATTTCATCAGGCACTGTTTTTAAAAGAAATCAAAGATTCAGCTTTTTTTCATAATTGGTTTAGCAGAGTTAGTAAAAACTATTTTTTTGTTGTTTTTTAAAATTTTTCTTAATTTTTTTTAACTCCATATAGATTATTATTATTTTTTTTTTTTTTTAAAGTTTTGTTATTATTTTATTTTATTTTATTTCGTTTTTACAATTAAAATACATAAAATGTCCTGTTAGTGGCTGTTGCTGTGGCAACCGTTTTAATTAACAGACAATTGAATTATTATGTTTTTGTCCTTTTTTTTGGTTTTACAACAGATACAATAATAAAAAGCAGAAAATCTTTTTTTTCTCTTTTCTTTCTTTTTCTTTCTTTCTTTTTTTCTTTTTTTTCTTTTTTTTAAAGAGTCTGTTTTACTGTGGAGTTCCCATTAAAGTACAGAAAATATCTTGGGTTTTTGTTTTTGTTTGTTTTTAGCAACAGATACAATAATAAAAAGCAGAAAATCTTGTCTTTTTTCTCTCTCTTTTTTTTTTTTTTAACCAACGATACACCTTTTTTTTTTTTTTTTTTTAAAGAGTCTATTTTACTGTGGAGTTCCCATTAAAATACAGAAAATATCTTGGGTTTTTGTTTTTGTTTGTTTTTAGCAACAGATACAATAATAAAAAGCAGAAAATCTTGTCTTTTTTCTCTCTCTCTTTTTTTTTTTTTTAACCAACGATACAATATTTTTTACCAAACAGTCTATTTTACTGTAGAGTTCCCATTAAAACACAGAAAACGTCCTGTTACTGCTTCATTAACAGTCACTTTCCTTGTTTTCTAATTACAGGACAAAGTTTTTCTGCTATTTTATGGATTTATTTGTTAGTTTTACTCAACTCTAAACAGTAAAGAGAGTAAAAATAAACGTGTTTTTACTTCACTGCATTGTTTCTTCTCCGGGACAATGAAAGGAAGAGATGTGGTGTGTTTTTCTCTCCTGCTGCACTTTAAATCACCACAACAATACGGCAGCTCTACTGAAGGCAGCTCTAATTAGTAACAGTGCCGACATGCTGCAGCCTCAGCGTTCCTGTTTCACCCAAGAAGGAGGCATTTACATAAACGCTGCCCACCAACGCTGCAGGCCTCGCTGCTCCATCGCAGCGCAGAGCAGGCCGTCAGACTCCAGATCAGTTTGAAAAGTTCTCTTCTACTGAACATGCACGTGATGTTTAGGTTTTGGCCGTAAAGGCTCCGAGGAGACGAGCCAACGTCATGACCTGCTTCTCCATTTAAAGCTCTGCAGCTCCAGGCTGGCAGGCGTGAGCTGCTTCTCGCTGGCTGAGATGTATTAGGGTGCAGAAAGAGTCTTTCTCGAGGAAGTAACTTTCTAAAGAGGCCAGAGAGACCCTCCAATGAGCTCAGCCGCAAACACACCACACTTCTTCTTTCCTTTGCTTTTTTTCCCTCACATCAAAGACACGACGGTCATAAAATACGTCCCGGTGCGTCGCAGCTGTTCACATTTTCTGTCTTTTTGGACGTTTTGTGCTCACGTCTGAATCCAGTCATGGCGTCCTGGGAAATGAATGTTTTCATTGTTATTATAAAAAAAACGTCATTAGTCTCATGTTCTTTTTTCCAGCCACAGCGGCGGTTCTCACTTTCGCTTCTTTGGGTCATAACGTTCTTTATGTGAGATTTCGTGGTTTTAAACACTTCCTGGTTCTGTTTTTTTTTTTTTTTTGTTGCTGTGGATGGTTCAGGTCAGAGTTCAGACTCAAGGGCAGGTTTCTCATTACACAACTGAAGGCTGGGTACTCATTGGGGAATTGAAACCACACTTCCCTGTTTGGAAAATATGACCACGTTTACAGTATTTTCACCGCTCGGCCCACATAAATTATTCAAACTCTATGATTTATCACTGCACGCTACTAAATTAACTGTTTAATCCTGAGACTTCCCACTAATATGCTGCATTTATGTTGTGTTGCCACAGGAATCAGCATTAACACAAACTGTAGTTGTGTCTAAATGACTTTTTCTTCTTTGAAAATGTGAATTGCAGACGTTTACCTTAACCAGCAATGAGTCTTTAATGTCTACGATGATGAATTGATGATAAAATATGTAAAAATGTCCCATCTCAAGGCATCAGTTGTTAGTCATATTCTTAGTCATCTAAATGTTGTTTTATAAGCTGTTGTGCAAAAATGAAGACGTGTCGCTCATTTCACACTCAGCTCTTGTTTCTGGCTCCAAAACAGAATCAGATTTTAGAGTTTTTTTGAAAAGACAAAACTTTCCATCAGAATTTTGTTGTATTCTTACAGTAATTTATCACAGTCTGGTTCTTTAAAGCTCTCAAACTTTTTTAACCATGACCCCCAAAATGACATAAGTTTGTGTTTGTGACCCCTCAGTTTGAATTTTTATCATCTCGTGAGTCATAACTTTGTTGTTCATGAATTAATCTGTTAAAAAATTAAGGCGTTAATTCCACAGATTAATTTCTTTACATTAACACACTAATTTAACACACTAACACATTAATTTTCTTTTAAATGAATGAATGACGTGAATTTTTTTCGAACAAATGAAGGGGGAAAAAAATATAAAAACAAAGGAAAATATATGGAGTAGTGAGAATGCCAAATTACAAAAATAAATCAGTCAAAGAATAAGAAAAAAAAAGTGGAAATAAAAAGGAAAAAAAATTATTTAAAAAAATAAAACGTTGCTTTAAAAGCAAAAAAAAAAAAGAAAAGAAAAATAATGAAAAATTAATTTAAAAAAGAATAATAATAAATACAATTTAAAAAAATAAAAATGATAAAAATTTTCTTTGGACCCTCACGGGGGTCCCGACCCTCAGTTTGAGAACCACTGCTTTAAAGCACCATCACCAGTTGAAGAACCTCTTTATTTTAGTGGAGGTTCTTCAAATACTGTGTGTGGTTCATTTAAAACATTAACAGCATGAAAGTCAAACAGCTGGTGATTGATTTCATTATTGATCAGCCAATAAAAAAAAAATCACAGCTTCTCAAATCCAGAGTTCTTGATGTTCTGTCCCCCAAGAACCCAAAACATTGAATGTTTTCTCGTGAAAGGAACCAGAAACGCTGCAAATTCTTACATCTGACATCATTTTAGTGAAGTTTTTTTAGAACTATCGTTAAAAATCTTCCTTACAGTCTCTTTGGAATGTCGTCCATCACCTAAAGAAAACATGTTTTGAAGCATCTTCTTGTAAGAACCTCTCCCTAAAGCTCCTTACGTGAACCTAAAACTCGTTATCAGAACCATTTTTAGCACTTTTATGTCACTGACACACATCAGAAACTTTCTCCTGCTCATGTGTCGGCCGTGACGCACGAGCAGCAGAATAAAAACCTTGTTCCTCTGCTGAATGAGAGGCCACCGTGGAACCATGTGTTCTCTCGCATTATCATTCCAGCGCGACCAAAACCGCCGACTGGGACGACCTGGAAAGATCGGCAGCTAAAAGCATTTCCAGCTCACCATGAACTGCTCATGAGAAGTTTGTTTTTGGAGAATCAGCACATTTTCTGTCATTAAAAAAAAAAAGAGCAAACTGGGAAAGCAGGAGCTGATTCATGTTTGAAGGTTTTTTGCTGAGATGTTGGAGTGACCCAGAAACATCCACAGACACATCAAGCATGCACTTTAAAGATAGATGACACTGAATCATTCCTCTTTCTACCTGATTAGTTTGCTCTTGATGCTGTAAACAAGCAGCAGCAGCGTGTCATTGAACTCACCTCCTGTAGTTTGTGGCGATCAGTGAGCCCCCGGCGGCGAGCTGCTGCCTCTTTATGTCCGTCCTCTCTTCCTCCTCGGCTCCACTGATCCTCTCAAAAGTTTCCAGCTCTGCCCTCGGCTCTATCACATTTTCCTGCCCTTCGTCATCTCTCTCTTTTCTTTGCTCAGCTCTTTGCGCTCTGAGCTCATGATAGGTTTCCCCTCAGTGCCGTCCCGGCTGGGCCCCTGCCCTCCCTTCCTTCTCTGTCACTTTTTCTTTTTTCTTTTTTGTGCTAAATGTGGTGGAGGGGATCAGGGAGAAGCCCCACCCTCCGGTTCTGCTCTGTGTCTGAACTGATTTGGTGTTTTTTTTTTTTTTGTGGGGGAATTTTAAAGGCCTGTGAGGAGTTTTGGTTGGACAACAAAAGACGTGAACCTGTGAATCAGTGGCTCTGCAGCTGGCAGCCTCCGACCTGTTCGGGATTACAGCTTGTGAGATGATCCGAGAAACAAACCGGCAAAGTTGTGTTGCAAAATTAACACATTTTCATTATCCTGAATGACATAACGTGTGTGTGTTCAGCGTTGTATAAGTCCTGATGAAGTTATATAACGAGGCTGCTCCATTCACAGAACTCTTCTTGTGTGGTTTTCTGGACTGTTTAAAATGTTTGGTTCGTAGATAAATCAGATAACGTTAAGCAGCCAATGTTGAGCCTCTTTTGCCATTTCCACTCCCTCCCACAGCAAACCACAGGGAGGCAGATAGCGAGGGTGGAGTTAACGTATAGAAACGTGGTGCCGCGGCGCCCAAACCCGCACCGGAAGCACGATGCTGGAAGAAAAAACTGGTTCAATTCCCCTCGGACACCAACGCTGTGCTTCAGATGTCAAAATGCTGACGTCTTGTCATCATTCAGTCGCGTGTTGTTCACTTGTTGTGCACCGAGACAGAGTGAAATAACGTTTACTTTATAGTTTATTAGCTTAAGGGTGAATTTTGCCTTCATCCTATGAGTATTTTCAGAGCTACTCAAAGTCCAGAGGGATGAAATCCTTTTTATTTCACTTCATTTTGCTTCTTCTTTGTTTTTGTTTTGTTAAGTTATTTTTTTGGCCTTTGTGCCTTTATTGGATAGTTTTAGTGAGAGAGAGACAGGAAGGTAGGGCAGAAGAATGGGGGGTTGACATGTGGGAAAGGGTCATGAGCGGGATTCGAACCCATGACCTCCACATCGGGACTGTAGCCCTGCACATGGGACACCAGCTCAACCAGGTGAGCTGTAGCGGCGCCCCTCTTCTTTGTTTCTGAGCTAAGAAATAAGTTAGAAAATAGTAAAAACAATTATTGTGACACAGAAGGAATCATGTCTAGAAGATGCTCCTGGTGTCAGATGTAGGTAAAAAAAAGTGATCCTTTCATTGTCTAGAACTTGTTCTGATCGACAACCATCACACATGCTGATATGAGCCTGGAAAGTTTACCCAGAATGCACTTTTTAAAGTTTCCCCAAATGTGTCCAAAACTACTCAAAACTTCTCCAAAAAACTGTTTTCTGTCCAAAAAAAATCCTCTAAAACTACTCAAAACGTTTCCAAAATGACTCTAAACTTGTCCAGAATAATCCAAAACTTGACCAAAATGATTCAAACGCTGTTCAAAAGTATAAAAGTCTATTTGTTGATCCTAGTATGTTCTCTAGGTAGAAATGATCCTTTCCTTGGCTAGAACTTTTTCTGACCAACCACCATCACACATGAGCCTTGAAAGTTTACCCAGAATGCACTTTTTTAGAGTTTTCTCTGGTGAATGATCAGAAACCAGAAACACATCCAGGATACCGATGATTGTTTCTGTGACTCTGTGACATTAAACTGCTGCAGTCTGACTGTTCACATCACGATACATCCCATAATACTGATGCTACCGGCTGGTTATAGAAGAAAAATGAACCAAAAACAGAGTTATTCTTTAAACCGTGACACCTGGATGGATGTAAAGCTGATTTAGTTGCTCATTTTGCGTCTCGTTTTTGTATTTTAGTGTCTCGTTTTGATCGTTTATGATGTCTTTGGGACACTGAAACATGACACATCCCATAATATTGAAGTTGGTTATAGAGAAAATGAACAAAAACCAGATTTAGTCTTTAGACTGTGGCTCCTGGATGGATGTACGACTGGTCTGGATGCAGTTTTTAGCAGAACTCAAATGTTTTTTTATCTGATAAAATTATGAGGCTCAGAAATGCTTCAAATAAAAAAAAGATTTCGAATCATCAGGAAGCTCGTCAAGGGCTGTAATTAATCATAGCGTGAAGCTGAAGTGTTGCATGGAGTCTTTAGATAATCTGAAGGTCTTGTGCTGAAAAAAAAGGAAGTCAGGTGGGAGGAACTTTTTATAAACTGCTTGTTTTTGTTGTTGCCTTGGATTTGCTTCTGCGTGGACACAATCATTTCAAAACAATTTAATGTCTATCTTTCCATAATTACCTCACAAGTATGCATCTTTTTTTCTATTTATTAAAATCTAAAATTTGGCTCCAGAAGTCCTGAAACTAGACGGGAAACACTCACACATCAGAAACCTGGACTGCTAGTAGTACAAAACAACATCACTGGGAGCCTTGCATGGAGACGCAATGTGTGTTTGTGTGTGTAAAAGATTAGAAAATCTACACAGTTAAATTTAGCATTACTAAACTTAATTTTATAAGAAAACATTTGACTGGAACCGACTGGCGAGCAAAGACAAACACATTATTATTGTTATTATTCCTGAAGTCGCCGTCCGGAGCCAAACGTTTTGCCCAAACTGCTGCTTGATGGTTAATTATTGGAGGATTATTTTTGTGCCGCGTTGCCAGCAGTCAGCTTTGACCAGAAGTTAGCAGCGCTTTGGGAGAAATCCCTCCGAGCAGCAGGTCGGCGTGAGTTCATCGCAGACAAATAAAGCTTCTGGTCAACGAATCAACACTTTTCTTTATCTTTCCTCTTGTTTTTCGTCTGCGGTCGAATATTGCTCACGCACATGCAGAGTGATGGTTTCCTCTGTGTGTGTGTGTGTGTGTGTGTGTGTGTGTGTGAAGCCACTGTTGTGTGAGCTCAGCGTACTGGAAAGGCCTAATCGCCTGTTGTCATAGCAATGAACTTGGGTGCTGCTCGCCAATTCATCCCCTTTTGTTTGCTGTTTGCTTTAAAGTCCAATCACTTCTCGTGGAATTCGTGGCATCCGTCGGCATTTTTTTTTTTTTATGAGCGTTTAAAAAGATTTTAATTATTCATTTATGTGTGACATTCCCCTAATTGTTTGTGACGTGATTATACAGTCGACCTCACATTTATTCATAACCTCCCGTTAAAGAAGGAAGAAAAAAAATCAGCTGTGAGTGAAATAAGTTGAAATTGACAAAAGTAATAATAAATAAAAATTTTATGGAAATCGTGACATTGTTTTTGAATTGTGGTTCATCAGAAATATTTTTTTAAAAAAGAAAAAAAAAGAAACAAGCATGATGGGACCCGTGAACTAGTTGAACAACCCTTTGAGCCAATCAGGTGTTTTCTGTAACTCCCAATCAGACGTCTGCACCTGTTGACAGGTATTTAGATTCCACTGCTCATCAGCAAAGTGCTCTCATTTGTCCATTTTTAAAAAATATTCTTTTCAACCACAATTCAAAAGCAACATCTTATTTCACTAAATTATATTTTTGCAAATTTTTATTTATTATTACTTTTTTCAGATTCTACTTATTTGAGTGACTATTGTGAATTTTGCCTTTTCTTTAATAGACAGGTCTGAAAACATCTGAGGACGACCGTATGAGCTTCACTGACGACCGTTTTTTAAAGCTCCAGTTTAAAGGATAAACTCTGAGTTCTGTTATTCTACCAACGATCTCCTAAAAAAAGGGAAATCACTGCAAGGAGGCGTTGTTGTGTTTCGTAACGGAGGCTTGTGAAATTACAGGGGCGCTGTTTTTTGTTTTTTTGTTTTTGCAGAAGAATGTGTCATCTCTGAACCTGGTTAGCTCACCCAACTTGTGAAATCGTGCCTAAATGTGTTTCCTGTTTTCAAGGTGACGGTCCGATCTTCCAGGCATCCAAGTGATTCATTTTGGGAAAGAACGTCTCTCCTTCCTTTTCTATTTAAGGCGGAAGAGAAACCGTTTCAGATAAGAAGAGATTGATGTTTTGTCGGGAGCTGTTTCTCTTTCTCTGAAGCCCGACTAGTGCCCGGTACGAGTTTGTGTAACGGCTGTAGACGTGTGTTTGTTGGTGCAAATGTTCAGCTGTGAGTCAGAGAACTGAGGTCAGTGCCGGGAAAGGTACCAAAAGACATGAAATCTACTTTAATAAGTTTCAATTTTACTAAATGAGACATAAAAAGTGTAAATGATCAAATATAAAAACACACCTGTATGATAAATGTCGCTGTAGAGATAAGTTGAGGATAGTTGTTGGTTTTCGTTGCTCATTTTTTCACCCTATTCCAAAATCAGATAAACTAAAATATCAAGTTTCACCGACTAACCAGCTCCAGTTATTCAGGCAACGTAGTTTTCTTCTGTATCAGCAAAAAAAAAAAGCATAAACAGCCGTGACATGTTTTATGTGCTTCAGCTGCTTTCTTATAAACATGCTGAACAAAAGCACAGTTTAGTCTTTATACTGTGACACCTGGAGTGGATGTAAAACTGACTCGGTTGCAGTTTTTTTTACAGAATTCAAATGTGTTTTTCGGTCCTGGAAACTTCTTTCTCCTGTGTTTAAAAAGCTGTGAAGGATTGAAAATGCTGGAAAAAGAAATTCAAGTTTAAAAAAACAAAAATAAAAAATATTTGTAGTATGAAGGGGAGATTTTGTACGGCTTCAAGTTTGTTTGTTTTTTTTAAAAAAAGAAAAAAAAGTTTATTTGAATGATTAATTTTTCCCTGCTCTTGTGTTTTCCATTAGTAATGTAGAAAAGTTCAGTAGATGGGAGAACAAGAGTCAATCCACATGCATTTTGTTGTTTTACTACTCAGATTAACAAGTTTACCAAACTAACGAGTTCAGTCAGAGTCGTTCACTCGTCTATATATGAGCAGCCGGTGCAAAAATCCACAAGAAGCCCCAAAAACAAGAGGTTCCCCCCTGAAGAAAATAAATAGCCCGACAGGATTTATTGGCTGTACTTCATTTGTTTTCTTGCAGGA